AGCCAGATACACAGAGGGGACTTTACCTGCCTCCCATCCAAGAGTCAGCGGCGGTCTGATGGAAAACCTGGACTGGATCTCCTCTAAACTGGACCGGGGCACAAACTGAGAAGTCAGAAGAAAAACAAAACTAAAGTCACTATTTTATTCATGCTTTATGAACCATCATGTCTAATAATCATTCACGTTTAATCCCTCTTTTATGGCAACCCATATAATTTGGAGTAATAATGATTAATTAATTCCTTACCTTTCATTTCTTTAATTCAGTTTTACACATAAATTAAAGTACCTTGCCAAACTGAGTAGAATTTCAGGTAAGATAAGATACACCTTTATTGATCCCACAATTGAGAAATTCCAGTGTTACAGCAGTCAAGGGGAAAGAGTCAGATTACAGATTTCAAAATTTAAAGCTATAGTGCGTAACTTCTGTCACCTCCCAGCAGATAATGCGTTATTACAACTAATAAGCCGGCGGCACTTCCATGTACAGAGAGTAACACTCGCCAGTCGCCACACACCGTACACAGAGTAACACTTGCCTTTGTGGTAGGATCCACTTCCGAACCGTGTCTCAGCCGCTTCTCCGCCATGTTGCTTTCTCTTTCTACCTGCGCTCTACCTCTTGCTATGACACTCTCCGCTCTTCCTCCCCCTCCCTTCTTGTTGTGAGGAAGCATTTCCTGTGTGCCAGCGCAGGAATGTCGCCGGTCGACACGCATACTAAAAATGATATATATTGAAAAATACCGCGAGATGTTAGAGGAGCCAATCGGCTTAATTAGCATTGTGTCATCTCCTCTAGTAGTGGCTTGGGTGAAACGGACATTTACGGACCTGTAGCAGTTACGCACTATAGCTTTAAAAACTTCAGAAACTAGGCATACAAAAAAAGTACAAAAAAAATACAAGAAACAGCAATAAATAATAATTATAATAATGAGCAGTGCATCAAAAGTGAGCAAAAGTGAGCAAAAAGCCAATGGACTTTGTATGAATTTATTAGGTAATTCCACATTAAATACACGTTAAATGTGGAAATACCACATTAAATAAATGTTAAATAACCTAACAATACACTAAATGCTGACTGAACCCATAAAACCTGGGCTAATAACATTTAATTATACAAATCTATAACTATATAAAAACTAAAACTATATTTTTGCATTGTAAAGTATACCAAAAAGATATTTTGACAGATATATAGATGAGGACAGGTTGTGTTAGGGGAGTGCATGTTTATTTTGTAACACTAGGTGGTACTTGGACTGTAAATAAACTGGACCTATTACTTGTTTATTCATTTAAATGGGTAGTAAATAGACTGGGGATAGTTACATTAGTTGTAAATGAATTTGGGAATTTGTTGAAATAATATATGAGTTAAAAGAAGAAATGTAAGACAGGGGATAGGGACATAAAAGTTTTACTTCAACCTACACTGTTTAATCTTTTTTATTTTTTGGTTCAAAATTAAGTCATTCATTCATTTTTTTAGTTTTTAATAAATAAACCAATTAAACTCTGAAATAAGGACATAAAAATTACCTGCTTGTGTCATGTGTGACACAATAGCTCATCAGCATAGCCAAATTACAGTGTAGTTTGAGTAATTTATGCTATAGCTAACTAGTCAGACTGTAAGCTAGATAGGTTTAAAATGTAAGTTAACTTGCAGCTAACAGCAAGTATTCCAGAGTTGAGTTTTTAATAAATAAACCTAATAACATGGGAAAATATGAGCATTAAAATGACCTGTTGGTGTAATCATGTGACGCAATAGCCATTTTCCACAGTTTGCTAACCTTGCGTTAACATAGCCAAATTACAGTGTAGTTTGAATTATTTATACTATAGCTAAATAATTAAGGTATTTAGTAAGATAAGTTAAGATTTAAGTTAACGTATACTTGCAACTAACAGCAAGATTTCATGAGGGTTTGGCGTTTTTAATAAATAAACCTAATAACATGGAAAAATATTAAAATTACCTGCTCATGTAATCACGTGACACAATAGTTCCGTGTTAATGTAGCTAAGTGTTGTTTATGCTAACGTTATAGCTAACTACATAATCATATAACGTTACACAGCTAGTTAAGAGTTGATATATATTTATAGCTAATAGGAAGAAATACTGAGGGGTTGGAGCTTTTGATAAAAAAAAAACCCTAATTAAATGAATAAATGTTGATATTAAAATAACATTTCGTGTAACTGTCACAGTAGCTAGTTTCCATATTTAGCTAACCTAGCGTTAGCATAGCTTAGGTAAAGTATTGTTTAACGTTACATTATGCAAACGTTATAGATAACTACATAGTCAAGTTATTTAACTAGCTAAGAGTTAACACATATTTATATCCAATAACAAATACTGAGGGATTGGAGTTTTAAATAAATAAACCTAATTAAACGAAGAAATGCTGACATTAAATTTACCTTTTGTGTAAGTAACGTTATGTGCATAGATAGCTAACCTAGCGTTAGCATAGCCAAATGAAATTGTTGTGTAGGTTATTCATGCTAACGTTATAGCTAACTAGTCTGGTCATGGAGTTTTTAATAAATGAACCTCATTAAACGGAGGAATACGGATATTAAAATTACTTGAACGCTATAGCTAGCTAGTTTCCGTAGTAAGCTAACCTAGCTTAGTTCAAGTGTAGTTTGAGTTGTTCATGCTTAGCTAACTAGTAAGGATATTTAACTAGTTAACAATAGGTGTCAGTTTACAGCTGACAGCTAGAAATCTTGAGGGCATTGGTATTATTGTTATTATCTGGTAACTCCTGAACTGCTTGTGAAATTTGTCTGATATTTTAGCAATGGCCCAGAAACACCTAAATGGCTTCTGACAACTTAAGCAAACGTTAGCTTTAAAAAGGGCACATAGCGTTAGCCTACAATATTTCATTTTAAACAAAGGATATATTCGTTGTGTGCTCATACCTTTTAAAATAACTCGTGCACAACACATTCTCTGAACACTTGTCTCTGATTTATCTCCCATCTCTGTGTACAAAGCATGTTTGTCCAGGCCCTGTGTTCAGCCCACCGCCTGGCATTCCCACCATTACTCTTTAAATTCCAGAGAGCAAACTGTCACCATTGATAGCATACCTTTTACCCAGCTCTGCTTTAAACTTCAAAACTTGTGGCCGTGTGTTCCTTTGAAAGTCTGGTAAACAATATCCAGTTGGTAACACGTGCCTCTGTAATTAATTGTGCCACCTGGTGTCTTAAAGTGAACACAGCAGCTTCAAAGGTGCGTCTGTGGGGAATGTATGTCCACTGTCAGTGTTTTTATTACTCAACTAACTGGAAATCGTCTCATTCCTGTCCTGTGGTGCAAACTGTGGCAACAGTTGAGCATTACTCAATATCAAGAGTGTAAAACACTGACACAGCTGTCCTCTGAACACATGGACACCCCATGTCAATGTGGAAAACAGTGAAGGCAAGGTAGTTTGTCCTGTTATCCTGTTCCACATTGAGTAACATCCGCATTTGTCCTTCCCTCAGCACAAAATGTGTTGGACAAGAGAGCAGCAGGATGATGACACATTCACCACTGGTGTGGAAAAAGGAACCAGTTAATACAGCTGTTGTTCCAAGGCCATTTTCAGTGTCCTTTCATTCCCATCATTGCTTTCTTTTAAATGTAATCCTCTGACACTGTTAGAGGTCTTCCACTTTGTAGCTCATTTAAAACACACCAAGGAGACTAAAAGACCTTTTTCACTGCAGCCATTTTGACTTGTCTTAGAAGGGGAAAGCACAGGTGGATCTAATGACAGCAACAAATGCAGCATTAATCAGTGTCATTGATTACACCTGTGTTTATTCTGCCTTCACAAGTCAAAGTATGTGCTATAGGAGCAACATTTGTAGTACGTTTTATCTGTTTAAAGGTCCAGTATGCAGGATTTAGGGGGATATACTGGCAGAAAATAAGAGCCACACCTCACACAGGGAGTGGGTACTTGTCAACTGAGATCTCTGTGTTGCATCACCATGTTTCTACAGTAGGAAACACTGGCTCTAGACAGGGGAATTCAAGTTTTCACATCAGCTATCATAGTTAGCAGCCCCTCCACGAGAGCGTCAGAAAAATATTTTTTTTAATGTGAAACTGCTTTATTCAGTCTATCTACTGGTTTAAATTAACAGGGTCTGTTTGTTTTGGATAGGAGGAGACCCTTGCGGATGATTCAGCTCCCAGTAAAACCCTCGTAAATGTCTGGATCTTAAGTTATCAGAGAAAAAACAACAAATATTAGCAGGTGCTGGACAAGCAGCCTCTCTGATGTGCCAAACATCATTGAAGAAATACTGATTTGTGAAGTGAAACAGCTTTATTCAGGGTTTTACCAGTTAGAATAACTTGGTCCATTTGTTTCAGAGAAGAGGGGGGCTCTGCAGATAATTCGGCTCACAGTAAAAACCTCCTGAACATCTGGATCTTAAGTTATCAGAGAAAAAAAAAAAAAAAAATATTAGCAGGTGCTGGGCAAGCAGCCTGTCTCTGACATGCCAAACATCACTGGAGAAACGCTGATTTGTAAAGTGAAACTGCTTTATTCAGCATTTTACTGGTTTAAATCACTAAGTCTGTTTGTTGTGGAGAGGAGAAGACCTCTGTGGGTAATTCGGCTTTCGGTAAAAACATCCTGAACGTCTGGATCAGAAATAAAGTGAAAACACATTAACAGAAAAAAATGCTAGTAGCTTGTATGATTGTTTTGGAAAATAAGAGACCTCTACGGATAATTCAGCTCCCAATTACAGCTTTCTGAATGAATGAGTACTGAAGGAATTCTTATCAGAAGTTTTAGCAGGTTGCAATCTGCAATCCTCACCACTAGATGCTGCTAAATTCCCCTAAATCTTACACACTGCTCCTTTAAGGCAGTAAATGAAAAGGTTTGAAAGCATTAAAGCCTCATCGTACAAAATTAAAATTCTCAATAGAAAGTAAACAAACTCCCCCGTTTTAGAGATGAACATAAGTTTAATCAAGATTAAATATATGCCCAAAAAAGATCTTGCAACTCATAAGAGATCCAAACAAGTCAAAACAATACAAAAAGATGAGCTTTTCTGTCTGTCATGTCGATAGAGTCTTACAATTTTATACTTCCTATGAGTTTTGGACTTTCATTCGGGGTAAAATGTATACATATCTGTCATTCACCATATTATACAGTGCAATGATTCTCAAAACCATTGCCTTCTTCCACATCTAAAACCCCCATACATAAACTCATTTATAGAATTATTTACATACAAGGCTTGAACAAGTCGACTCGAACCAAATTTGGTGAGCAATAATAAGAAAAAACAAACATCACACATCAGAACATATGGGAACTTTCTTAAACTTCACGGCTCGGTTGAGCCATTGTGACATTTTGGTACACAAATCACCAAATGGAAAGAGGAGGCAGGAGTGGCCTCAAATTAAATAATGTGATGAGCGAACACTCAGCGAGGGCATTGGAGGATTACTCAGCTTGCAAGTCAGTCCGCCTCTGTGTCTTTAAAGTTTGGTTGCATACACACACAAAAAAAATGTACAAATACAGCTCTGATGCCTCCTGCACACATTGCTCATAATGCACCGAGGTGGGAGGTACACAAAGCAGGCGTGTAATGAGAAACTGAACAGAGTGAATCTAAAATATGGCAACAAATTAATTTAGAGAAGAAAAAAAAAGAAGCTGAATACACTCGGATGTCACAACTGAGTTAGTAAGCAACCACGTCACCAAAGACACAAAAAATAAGTCTACATCATCTCAGTTTATTCACGATACCTTATTCGAGATGACACTTTGAGTTAAGTCATACCAGGAAGAGAAAGAAAAAAACAGAACAGCAACACTGGATTCTGTGTAATGTTTTTCTGAGCGCTGCAAAGATGTAACAGTGTCATGACCTCCGAAACATGGCAGAACTTTTACTGTTGGGTGTATCTGTGTGTCAGAACTGAGTACAGCATCTCCAGACAAACAGAATGATAATTAATATAACTTCTGTCGTAATACTAGCTCCTTTTTTCTTGATTCTGTCATGAAGAATTGATGAGAAAAGGACAGTTGATGGTATAATGTAATCAGTTATGTGGAAACAAGACACACAGATAGAAAAAATATGTGGGATAAAGGGAGAACAAATATTTATTTAGTAATTTTTAAACTTGTTCTGTATCACACACTGAGATGTTTGCACGTATAAAGCCAGAGAGCCACATTTCTATGTGCATCCTGTGTTTTAACTCACTCGTTAAAGACTCATGAGCTCACTCTCAACCATGGAATGATATGGAAGCAAAAAAGAGTATGAGTAGAATATTGAAATTTAAACTCTAAATTCACAGCACTGAAATATTTTACTTTGAAAACTATATATCTGAATTTATTTGTTTGGAATTTTCCTCTTTGAAAATTAAAATGTGAAATTTCTTGATTTGCAATTTCAATTAATTTGACCATATGTTTTTTTTTTTTAAATGTTCAAAAATTCAGATCTAAAAATTCACGGTGAAGCAAGGACATTACAGGCAATTGAGCCTGAATGTTTTGACTAATCTGTCTGACATTTAAACTTTTTAGAATTTTTAGATCTAGTCATAAGCAATGAAATTTTAGTTACCTATTTTTTTTCAAATCTTTTTTTTTTTTTTTTTTCCCCCAAATTCTGAAACTTAAATTTTGGGATCTGAATTTGTGAACACTGGGGGAAAAACAGCAATTAAAAAAAACTATCTATATTTGTCTGATGTTTAAATTTTTTCAACTAGGATTTTTAGATCTGAATATGACCAATTAAATTTGAACTTTTTTTTTTTTCCAATTTCTGAAACTTGAACACTGGGGGAAAAAAACACAGCAATTTTATTTTTTTTTTTTAAATTCTAATTTGTCTGTTGTTTAAGTTTTTTTAAAGTAGGATTTTTAGATCTGAATATGACCAATTAAATTTGAGCAACCTTTTTTTTTTTCAAATTTTGAAACTTAAAATTTTGGATCTGAATTTGTGAACACCAAAAAAAAATTCCAATTCAGCTTTTAAAACTGCCAAAAAAAAAAAAAAAAAAAAAAATTCAACAAGGTAAAAAAAACAAATGCTTTTCCAAAATAAAGCATTTCAATATTATGAATTCAACGGTGATTAAATTTCAATATCAAGTCTTCAGTGGCTTTTAAAATTCAAATACTTATGTCTCTTTTTTTTTTGCCTCCACAGTATGACTTCTTGCCTGTCCTTCATTAATTTTGCCACTCGCCTCCATTGAAAAAATCTACTCCTGGTGCACTCTGTCTATCAGATTGTAAGGTGAGAGGAGAGACAGCCTGTTTTGGGGCAGGCACAAGCCAGAAAGAGCACTGCTTCCACTGAACATCCTCCCAGATCTTCATATATGCACGGTGACAAGGGCAGAGAATAACGGACTACTGTTATACAACAAAAAAAAAAGATTAACTTTGTGTACAATGGTGTTTTTAATGTGTGTGAGAGACTTGGCAAAGACCAGGAACTCTCTGTGGAACAGAGGCATAGTGTTATGAAGTACATCTGCAATAACGTTAGATCTTCAACATTGTCTGTGTTCTTGTGGGTATAAACGACCACTATTACCACCAAACAGGAAACTCACAGAGCGCTGCACTCGCCGGGTTTCTGTTCACGGTTATGAAAGTGTCACTCAGGGCAGAAGCAGCCACAAGGCCACGCTGGACAGTGTTGGGCTGGGGGGGGGGGTCAGTGACAGAAGAGGAGCCCAGGGTGAAAAGTGGTAAAATACAATGTGAGAGCAAAGTCATACAGCTTGGTCTATGTGAGCGCAGCGAGGACAGGTGGTGGATATACGACAGGGCTCCGAGGGCTTGATGAGGTCTAGCATGGGTGTATCTTGGGACACGCATACACGTACAGTACATACATATTAGTCCAATCTTCAACCTAGGGCTCCAGATGTCTCTTTGTCACCCTCTGGTGGTTTTGTCCAGAATAGATCTGGCATCACTTTCTCTTCCTCACACACACACATACAGGCTGCCATCGCACAAATCTCCTCCTACACACACACACACAAACAAACAGACACATACATATATGAACAAACACACTCCTTGGCTCCCCTGTGTCTGTATTCAGGCTTATCTGGTGTAGTAGACTCTGTAGTAAACACTCTTGGAGCGCCAGAGTGAATAGGAGTTGTCAAACTTGAGCAGGTAGACTCCGCGGCCGGGGTACTGGTGGCTGCCAGCGTACACCTCCTCATGACAGTCCCGCCGGTACACCGGCACAATCTCATCCACCTGGGGCTTCCCCGCCTCCTTCTTCGCCTTCTCCTCCTCAGTGGGAGGATCACCTGAGGACACAGGAACGATAAATCAAACTGGGATAGAAAGCAGGAGGGAATCAGCGATGAGTCTCATCTTTATAAATGGCACACACACAAAGCTCCTTTTATCAGCGTCACTATAATTATGCAATATCATTAACCTTAATATTAGAGTTATGTTTGTGCCTTAATCCTAAAAACTATGATGGGTCATTTTGAGCACTGAAAAAAGATTTTTAACAAGCACACAAATTATAATTTTTGCAGTTAAAATCACCAGAGCTGAAATGCTTAATTGTTGAATCGATTAGTTATTATCAAATTAAATGTCAACTAATTTTATAATTGATTAATCAGGTGAGTAATTTAAAAAAAGAAAAAAACATCTCTGATTCCAGCTTCTTAAATGTGCATATTTTCTGGTTTCTTTACTCCTCTATGACTGTCAACCAAATATCTTTATTTTTTCTGTTTCTGTTTTTGGCTCTTTGCCTTTATTAGACAGGAGAGTCCAAATGTGTAATGGGGTGAGAGAGGGGATGACATGCAGTAGAAGGCCACCGGCTGTACTCAAAGCCATGACTGCCACAGCAGGGATGGCACCCTCACACATGGGACTCACGTGCTACTCACTAAGCCACCAGGTGCACCAAAAACTGAACTTTGAGTTGTGGGCAAAACAGGACATTTGAGGACACCATCCTGGGCTTTGGGAAACACTAATCGACATTTTTCACCATTTTCTGGCACTTTTATAAACCAAACAACTTATTGATTAATCCAGGAAATAATCAACAGATTACTCGTCACTGAAAATAGCTATTAGCTGCAACCCTAATAATCATGAATAATTTAATTTAAGCAATCAAGAATCTATTCTGAGCTCCAAACAGTTTTTTTTCTTTGTGTGCTCATTACACACTAAGGCGCAAATGTAATGCCATATGATGTGGCCTGACATTACACCATCCCACATCCCTTTAGGTATCAGTCTCTTACTTAAAGGATCAATTTTGAACAAAACCTGTGAGTTCATGACAAAAAGTGACAAAACCACACAGTTTTGTTACATTAAACATAACTACACAACCTCTACTCCAGCTGACATTCAGGTCTAAAGATTAAAAGAACTGACATGACTGTGAAAGGCTAATATGTACAGTTAATTTAACTAACAAAACCATGCCAATCCCACAGCACATTATTGCCTTTATCTTATCAACATATTGCCACAGTTGCATTTCTATTCACACCACTGCACAAGCAGGCCTTCCTCTGCCTCAGTAAGAACTATGAGATGTTTACCTATGGCGTAGGCAAGTTCTGAACTTCACATAAGAACATATTGTTTGAAAAACTAGTTATTCATTTCTCCATTGACCAATGAGCGAAACAACCGAATTTAATCAATGAAACAGACAGTCCTTTTCAAAGTAACTGCTTCTGAGGTAATGATGGAACTAAATAACCACCATGACATGTTCATTTTCCATAACCGCTCATTTTGTTAGGTGTCACGGGGGGGCTGGAGCCTATCCCAGCTGGCATTGGGCAAGAGGCGGGGTACACCCTGGACAGGTCACCAGACTATCACAGGGCTGACACATAGAGACAGACAACCATTCACACTCACATTCACAGCTACGGACAATTTAGTCACCATGTATTTGGACTGTGGGAGGAAGCTGGAGCACCCGGGGAAAACCCACGCTGACACCAGGAGAACATGCACAGAAGGGCTCCCCCACCCTGGGTTTGGACCAGGAACCCTCTTACTGTGAGGCTGCACCACCGCGTTGCCACCATCATGACATGTTATTAAATAGCAGAGTATGTCATAGATGGTATCCACAGCAAATGGCTGTGTAGCTAAAACCAGGAGGGCAATAATGACCAATCTATTCCATTTTCTATCCAATAGTGACACAAAGGAACGGCCAGTAAAATTAAATTTTCAGTTCCTGGAAAAACATTACATAATAATGAACACATTATTGAATAAGAGCCAACACCCAGCCACAACATCACAGTAAGTAAAGCTGACTCTTTAAGCAGATATTCTCAACACACTGCAGGCTTATTCACACAGCCTCCCCACCCACGCCTCACCTTCTTCATCCTCGTCCTCGTCGCTGGACTCCGACACGTGCACGCTGACCGAGGCGGAGGCGGCGTCCGTCCACTCGAAGAAGACCCCGAAGCCGATGTCGTAATAGTCCGTGGCAAACTCCCAGAACAGGTAAGAGCCTTCCTCGTGGGTGGGCACACGCACTGTCACCACCTCGCCACGCCCCACTGTGATCACGCTGTCTGCGTCCTGCCGGATTTTCTCCTTGAAGTCCTTGATCTGTGGTCGTGTCCACATGGAGGGAGCGGCTATGACTGGTGGGGAGTCTGCTGTGATCGAGAGACAAGAGGCTTCTTACAATCTGTTGTAAAAATCTGCTCATACAAGTTTCTTATTAGAGAATAAATATTACATTTTTATTTCCTAACAAGTGATTTCCTCCCAGCAAACACAGACCGAATGTCAAACTAGCTCACCTAACAGGCCAGGTATGATTCACAAAGAGAAAAAGAGAGACAGAGAGCATGTGTGCATGTGGCCAGTGCTTTGCATACCCGCCTATCCATCCATCTTTCTTCAAAACAATATTTTGAGAGTGAATAGCCAGCCACAGTGGATTAATTTGGCTCAGGATGTATGTGTTGGAATGAGACCAGTGCCTTGTTCACTTCTCGTGTGAGTGCTTACCTTCCTGTAAGCAGAATGTGTGCTTGGATAATACCTAAACCAGCAGCCTATCATGTATCACTTGTTCCAGCTCTTCTCCTCCCTGCCCTCCAGGTCACATCAACAAGGACACAGCAGATAAGAATCAGGTTTCAAGTTTGGTATAAAGCTTTGTTTGTTTGACGGAGAACTCCCCCCTCTCTGCCTTGTAGCCATAAGCTATCCAATAAAGGAAACATAGATTCTTTCTGCATGAAGTCAACTCCAGTGGTTCCTGTTTTTTGAGGAGATAAACATCTACGGCCCACTAACCTAATAAAGGCCCGTTCTCTGAGACCTCCTCCGCCGGCTCAGGCTCCGGCTCCCGGTCTATGCTCTCCGAGTACGAGTCCGACTGGCCTCCATTGACTGTTGGGGTTTCCTCGCCAGCAGGTGGTGAAGCTGCGCACAACGGTCCCGCTGCTGAGGCAGGGATGGGTTCACCACTGTTGAAGCCGCTCGATTCGAGGGTGCCCTGCACCATGGAATCAGCCTGCATTTGCTGCTTCTGTAAGGCCGCCTGAAATGAAAGGAAGACAACACTGAATCAAGACACTGAACCTCAAACTAGAGACATAAACCAAAAGTGTTATATTTCTACACTGCTGCTGGGACGATTATAAAATCCTGCTTTTATGTGAATTACACTTATATTCACTTTACCTTTATACTTTTAACTTACCTTTATATACTTTTACTTAAGGCACAGACACACCAAACCGACATCAAATAACTAGTGGCAACTAAGATTCACTGTTGCCTCATGACGCCCATGTCTCGGCGAAAAAGTTGCCCCTGAACACAACACAAAGGGCCTTTCCCAAACCACCCCCTACACCCTCTCCCTAGTCACTTCCACTCCCTTTCTGCATTCACGAGTGTCTGCCACGTGAGTTAAGTACCATCCAAACCAACTAGTGAGGCGTGGGAGTGGGTTACAATGACCATGTGCAACAAAGAACTGTGCTGGTCATGGAAGAAGCTCGGTACATATTAAGTTCTGTGCGACTACCCTAAGGAATGTTAACTATTCAAACTACAGATGTTAACTTCTTAAATGCTACATCGTATTTAGGGTCAAATACACACCTCTCTAGTTTCTATAAAACAACAGTCATGTTTATTTTGTAACAGGAACTTACAAAAACAAGTAGTTTAGAAACATTAGAATGAAAAATGCGAAGATGTTTACAAGAGTAAAAGATGAGAAATGTCACCAATGAATATCAGGGATATGTTTTATTCCCTTTTATGTATTATTTACTTATTTATTGATTTGTTCGTTGATTTTAATGGCAAAAGGATAATACACGCTACAAAAATTTTGGTAAACATCAGCACAAATCGACAGACAACATTAAAAGGGGAATAATTTAAGTTTTCACCATGGTTACCAAACATAACAACAGCTCCTGTCTCAGCTACAGAGGGGGAAATGTGTTCCAAAGCTTCCCACTGTGTTTACACCCTACACCTTGATGTAGGATGCTTCACTTAGCTGTGGAGGTGACTACAAATGTAGTGGATAGGTTCCAGTTTTGGAAAAGGCAAAAAGAATACAGCCAGTAATCAACTAGCAAGCAGTCGGCAGACGTTTTAGGAAAAAGTCTTAGTTTGGGTTATAAAGAATAGATTTCCATCAGAAAAGGCTTTCTGGGAAAAAGCCTACAAGGAAAACTTCTACCATGTGCAACTAGCACTGCTGCCTGTGCCTGTGTGAAAGGAAATACCTCCACAGCAGCAGGCGGCGGTATACTGTATTCATCATTAAATAAGGAAAAACAGAGGACCAACACAACGGGTTCAAGACGCTAGTTAGCACTGTAACTAGAGTTGTATCGATACCGATACCAGTATCGGAAATGCCTCCAATACTGCCTAACATGAGGTATCGGCGAGTACAGCCTATGACCAATCCAATACCACGTAATGCCTCACGTCATTACGCATACACACGCTACAGGCAAACGAAATGGAAACGGAGCGGAGTTTAAAAAGCATTCTACTGTAGTCTTTAAAATGTCTTTTTTACCCAAATTGTGTGGCTGCACTTTAACCTGTGTCTTGATCTGTGTCAACACTGGATAATAATAATAAAAAAGTTTTATGGCATTCATTCTACTATTATGTATTTATTTCTCAATATTTTACATAGAGTTTAGGAATTGAGACATACAACAATTCATATCCCATCCATTTTTATTTTACGCGCTGGTATTGGATCGGATTGGTACTCGGTATTGGCAGATACCTAAGGTTCAGGGATCGGAATCGGTATCGGGAAGGAAAAAGTGGTATCACTACATCTCTAACTTTAACAATCATGCACTAGCGAACATAATCTTGCTTAATACAACATGTTTATTTTGATCTCACACCCTCTTGATTGTAGCTCTTTGTTTACTTTCCTCACTTCCGTTTCTTTTATTGTGCAATAAGCTGAACTACCTAAACTAGAGTGATTTCATTCACCCACGGCTCCGCCAGGTCTGAGGCAGATTCAACATGCTGAATCTGCTAAAAAAAAAAAAAAAAAAGCCAAAAAGGGGTCAACTAGGGCCACAGTGAGGGACACAACACAAAAACTAGTCTAACTTTGACCAACTGCTGACTGCCGGCTTGGTGTGTCAGGGCCCTTAGTGTTTTACTCCTTTGAACATCCCTGTATATATTTATTATTTCTCATTACCCATATATACATTTGCTACATTCCTGTTTACATTACAGCAAAAACATATATTATTTTAAATATATTTTTTATTTTATGTCTTAGATTCCCAATTTCTACTTGCGTAAATTTTCTTTTTATATGTAATGATCAATGTTAGAGGGAGCCTGAGATCTTATATTTTCATCACCAATTACTGCTTCACTGTAACTGTTGCGCATATGACTATAAATGACTTGAAACTTTATCCATGTAAGGCTGCACCATTATGGCTAAAACTGTCATTCTGATGAGTTTGCCTAATACTGCCTTCATCACAGTGCTTGATTATGTGGGGAGCTTAACAATCTCAATTATTTTTCCATCTTTTGTCAACATGCTGAACAGTCTCTAAAATGGCGGTTTCCTAAATAACCTGTTCTGACTTAGATTTTGATCACAGCATTTGCAGGCACTTGTGGCTGGCGCATAACTATTTTCAATTTACAGTGGATCTTTAAAAGAAATGTTGCCAAAACCTTAATACTTCCCTAAAATCAATCGATGAAAGTCCATCTCTCTGTTAGTGATTACACAATACCTGTTGCTGGGCCAGCTGGACCTGGTAGAGCTGCTGCATGTACTGCTGGTAGTGCTGCTCCTGAAGCTGACGGATGAGGCCCAGTTGTTGCTCAGGGCTGTTGGGGTATTGCTGAGCAGCGTACTGTTGGAACTGCACTGCCGTCTGCGCATTCAACGCTGCCATTATCTGTTGTCTGGGAAAAATAACAGGGGCAAAGTCGGTGAGGAAGGAAATACAGGAAACAGAGAGGAGACAATAGGGGACAGTGGAAAGTTGCAAGGTTTTAACATGGAGAGATGAGTGGCAGGGAGCAAGCACTGTCCTCTGTGGACCTGGTTTCAGCTGAGCACTGACGCTGCTAAAGTGCCTTGCTTGACAATGAATCTGTCACAGCTCCGGGGCTGAAAAGACAATATCCCTGATGATATCAGTGTCAGGGAAGTGTGACGATCATGTAGAAGTCATGCTGGAGTCAAATCGATATTTTGCAAACAAACACACGGTGACAGAGACACGTACTTCTGCTGCTCAATCCGTAGCCTCTCCTCTTCTGCCTGTCTCCTTTCCTCCTCCTCTCTCCTCAGCCGTTCCTCCTCCTCGAGCCTCCGTCTCTCCTCCTCCTGCCTTTGTCGCTCCCTCTCCTCCTCCTCCAGCCGCTGACGCTCCTCTTCTTCTTTCCTGTCGAAGAGCAAAGTAACGAAGGATATTATAAATCATGCAAATGGTCAAATTTATTTGCTGCTTCAACGTTTTGATGCCTGCATATAGGACACGCTGAACCTGAGTCTGAATTTAGACGCTGAAGCAGAGGGACCTCCCTCATGGGGAGTGAAGTCGAGCACCTTACCTTTTCCTCTCCTGCTCCTCCCTTTCGATCTTGTGTGAGGTGACGTAGGGAGCAAAGAGGTTACAGCACTTGTTCAGCAGTTTGACAAACTCCACCATCGCCTCCTCCTTCTCCATGTTACCCAGGGAGGCCCACTCTTTCCTGCACAGAGCGACAATGGGCGTGACGACAAATAATAGAGGCAGGTGGGTAAATTGAGCTCAAGACATTTTTTGACTTCTTTTCAGATGACATAAGATAAAACAAAAATTGTATCTGTGGCATTTGTAATAACTGTTGTGTCTTTACAACATCCACAACCACAGGATGTGAGCAATTATTCATCCATTCATTCAATAAATAAATTTGAAATACCAACTGTGTCAGTAAAACAGGTTTACTTCACAGGTTTTCATACCTCTCTAATACATAAAGGAATTATGATCTCACCACGGGGGTTCAATAGACAATTAACACACCGAAGTGTTGGAATGTCTGTCATATTTCAAAGGTTACACTCACTGGCGCATACACACAGACATCTGCCAGGTTTACCTGCGGTCGTTGCCCAGGACATCAAAGAAGCCAACCTCCGGTGAAGCATCAGGATTATAAGGGCCCAGTAACACCTGTTTGTGCAGAGCGACCAGCCGCAGCTTCTCCTCGTATGTCGGGTGGAAGGCTTTTCCATCTTTATCTGAGAGCAGAAACGTGAACGCAATGAGTTCACTTTCATTTCTTTTTATGTCCAGTAGTTTAAATGCTTGTGAATGCCACAACACACCTTTGTGTCTTATCACAACATGGTGGCAGCAGCATAAGCATTTAGAGTTAGTTATTCTTTAAACACTCTATAACTTAATAACATCCTCCTGGCAAGATTATTATAATCACAGTCAAATTTATTTAATCCAAGGTGAGGCAAGGATCAGATTTACGCATACGAGTTATGCAACTAGACCTAACCCTAACTGACTTGAAATACGTGACTACAAATACAGAGCACAGATTACCATCGCACGGTGGCAACTGGGCCCAAACCTGTTTGCACAGTCATCACAAGCACTTTGCTCAAATGAAAACAGTGCAAATCCCTAGAGTTCAAAATTGAAAACGTGCTCAAAGTATTTGCAAAGTAACACATTTAACCACAATTTGCCTTAAAGCCACAGAGAGAGGGACACACTGCATATTCATTTACATTTTTCGGATATGCTGTGCTGCTTTGACTCACTACTACTTCACAAACAGGCTGTTGCATAATGAACTGAAATGAGGCGTTGATCTTGAAACTTAAAACAGATGTTATAGCTGGTTATATATTGCTACAATATATTTTGCAAGCTGTTGTTTCAGCACAAGACATACGCTGGATAACTAGTGATGACACAGGGACGGTGATGGGGTATATGTTGCATGTTGCACTGCCTTGTTTCTACAGTAGCCCAGAAGATACAAACAAAACACTGGCTCTAGCTAGGGCCATTTGCAGTTTTGCATTGTTAGCAGCCCCTTCTGCAACAAGAGTGTCAGAAAAACACTGATTCTTTTAACATGAAACTGCTTCATTCAGTGTTTTTACTGGTTTAAAATCACTGGGTCCATTTGATTTGGACAGGCGGAGACTTCTATGGATAGTTCAGCTCCCTTTTAAGAACTTCCTGAGCAATAAACACTGAAGGAATTCTATCCAGGAGGCTGGATGCTATCTGCAATCCTCACCTCTAGCTGCCTCTAGCACCCCCCTTAATTTAACAAGGTGATGCTATTAATTCAGATAGCCTGACAGATTGTATGCATGGAAAAACAACTACAAGTGCAAGTAATCCACCACTTGCGCCTTTTATTGGATTTCCTGCTGGAGTAGTAGTAGTAGCAGGGAGTGGTATATGGATATGAGGAGGCTGTAAAACAAGCCAGTGGACACACAACCCCGTGAGCAATGAAAACGTGGTGCACTGTGAACTGGTTTTAGAGATGTCAAATGGAGACAATGGGTCGGAGGGTCTAACCGGACTAACTGACTCCTTCAACACAGCAGGAATCTGTCAGCGTCTGATTCATCAGTGTAAGCAGCTGACATGCAGGCTGCATCAGTGGCAGGGCAGGGCGTGTTTAAAGCTCCCAGACAAATCACTATGTGCCACCACTCAGCTAGGATGGATAGCTTCTTACGTTACAGCTCTTATATTAGTTAATGGAGCGGTCGCATAACAAGTCTGATTGTTCTTCTCACACCCAAATAAAGGCACACAGAAGACAGACAACACCAGATAACAGCCGGGTGAAAATGCTCTGAGGCCACAACCAGACACAAATGGACTTCTCGGAAGTGAAGTGCTTATTTTACCCTTTAACAACCGGTTAGCAGCTTGTTAGCCGCGTCAGCTACTCGTTAGCTTTGAAGCTAATGTAGTGTTGCGGCTGACAGCAGCAGCCCCGGTGGTGACAGCTAACAGCTAACATTAGCAAACGGCTAACCGCTGCAAGCGCGAGCGCTTCGTGTCTTGATTTAACGGTCGTTTCGGACGTTAGCTGCTCCTGCGCGTTAAAGTTGTGACATTATAACAACCGTAAAATACCTTTGAAGAATTTAAGGCTCATTCCGTACAGCTCCAGCAAAGGAAAGCCCCATTTCCTCTCTATGGCAGATTTGGCTGTCTCTCCATCTTCGCCACCCGCGGCACCCGGCGTGTCGGTCTCGGGTTCCGCGGGTCTGGGGTCCGGCTCCTCGACCTGGATCTGCTCGCCCTCCGGATCGGGACTGAGGGTGAGGCCATCGATGGAAACTTCGAGCCGGCTGGAAGTAGCACTGTCGAGGTCGCCGCTCTGAACCTCTGTCGCCATCATGTAGACTGTCAGCTGAAGCGGCCACGTACCTACTTCCGTTTAGTCTTGGCGGAAGTTCCGGGAGGTGTTTTTTTTTTTTCTTCTTCGATGTAAATAATGACGACGCTTTAACTTTAACCGATAAAAGAAACATTTAAAGAAATTATTTATTCATTTTTTATTCTTTTTTATTTCCTACAGTTTTTCCTTATATATTGCTGTAATTTTAAAACTACTTGATAGATACAGAAATGTTATCTGCAATTCTCTTGTTTACTTAGGACAGGGGTGTCCAAAGTTTTTTTTTAAATTGGGGGCCATTTAAGACTGTGTGAAAATACCTGGGGGCCAGCTGCTTGTCTCGTCATATGGGTTATTAAAAAGCATTAAGATCACATACAAATTAGCTTCATCCAACATGTTTTTCATATTTCACTGAAAAAGTATTTAACTTTCCACCGCTCATGAAAGTGGCGGCCCTCACTGTCGACTTTACGCTTTTTTGCTGTGGCCATGTCTGCTACCTAGTACACATGTAATGATCCATTGATCTAGACTGATACACTGATTCAATGATCAACCATCCAATAACATCGATGCAAAGTGAAAACAGCCATCTCTGAATTAAGCCCATATTTTTTCCCATGGTACGTCTGTGTCATCATTTCTGTGGAGGCACACCTTCTTTAGAAATATCATATTGTTGACCTAAGAATCAATACAATATCATATTGTGGTTCAACCTGTTATTTACACCCATACAACCTAGCAGGAAATGTCTGCTGCTCGGCAACCATTTGTTTGTTTGTGTACTGTCTTTGTGTTTATGAAAACACATTGCCTCTGCCTGTATAGTTCCTACTTGGTGCATGTCTACAAACTCTACAATAGTTCTGTCATTGTGAGGTGAACAGAAAACATAGAGTATATTTTGAGCTGTGAGCTGTTTAAAATTGGTCCACAGGTGGCCGGACTTTGGACATTTTCTCATTGTGACCTTTAATGTTATTCTATATTCTATATGTCAGTACAGTATGTATACATAATATTAAAAAGCAATGAGATCTAACAATTATTTTAGTACATTATTGTCGTGCTGTAATACTCCTGGCAACAGTCCTAAGTGTAATCACACATATATCATGTCCATCTACTTTTAATAATAGGATATTGTTTTTTAGACAAAAATAAAAGTGTTGAAGAAGCCAAAAATTATGTCAGTGTTTAACATGACCATGGATGGATTACTGAACAGGCTTACTGGGCACAGGCCAAGGGGCACCAAATGACAGGGGCCTCACAGTCCAAAAAATGATGTGAATGAGCCACAGAGACACACGAGGTGACCAAAAAGGAAACACTATTATATCAAAAAGACATGGGAAAAAAACAAGGAGACACAAAAAAAGACCACAAAAGATCCATAACAACTTCAAAAAGAAGCAAAACAAAAAAATAGAGGCAAAACCACCACCAGCCTGCGTGTCTTGCTCCTGTGTAGGAGACGTGGTGGGGCCTTTTGCAAAGCTGTGCCCAGGAACCCATTGCTTTATAATCCACCCATGGATATGATGACAGAAAAATAATTTAGAAATAATATAACAGGTCAGTCAGTTCAGATATACAGTACAGGCCAAAAGTTTGGACACACCTTCTCATTCAATGCGTTTTCTTTATTTTCATGACTATTTACATTGTAGATTCTCACTGAAGGCATCAAAACTATGAATGAACACATGTGGAGTTATGTACTTAACAAAAAAAGGTGAAATAACTGAAAACATGTTTTATATTCTAGTTTCTTCAAAATAGCCACCCTTTGCTCTGATTACTGCTTTGCACACTCTTGGCATTCTCTCGATGAGCTTCAAGAGGTAGTCACCTGAAATGGTTTCCACTTCACAGGTGTGCCTTATCAGGGTTAATTAGTGGAATTTCTTGCTTTATCAATGGGGTTGGGACCATCAGTTGTGTTGTGCAGAAGTCAGGTTAATACACAGCCGACAGCCCTATTGGACAACTGTTAAAATTCATATTATGGCAAGAACCAATCAGCTAACTAACGAAAAACAAGTGGCCATCATTACTTTAAGAAATGAAGGTCAGTCAGTCCGGAAAATTGCAAAAACTTTAAATGTGTCCCCAAGTGGAGTCGCAAAAACCATCAAGCGCTACAACGAAACTGGCACACATGAGGACCGACCCAGGAAAGGAAGACCAAGAGTCACCTCTGCTTCTGAGGATAAGTTCATCCGAGTCACCAGCCTCAGAAATAGCAAGTTAACAGCAGCTCAGATCAGAGACCAGATGAATGCCACACAGAGTTCTAGCAGCAGACCCATCTCTAGAACAACTGTTAAGAGGAGACTGCGCCAATCAGGCCTTCATGGTCAAATAGCTGCTAGGAAACCACTGCTAAGGAGAGGCAACAAGCAGAAGAGATTTGTTTGGGCCAAGAAACACAAGGAATGGACATTAGACCAGTGGAAATCTGTGCTTTGGTCTGATGAGTCCAAATTTGAGATCTTTGGTTCCAACCGCCGTGTCTTTGTGAGACGCAGAAAAGGTGAACGGATGGATTCCACATGCCTGGTTCCCACTGTGAAGCATGGAGGAGGAGGTGTGATGGTGTGGGGGTGTTTTGCTGGTGACACTGTTGGGGATTTATTCAAAATTGAAGGCACACTGAACCAGCATGGCTACCACAGCATCCTGCAGCGACATGCCATCCCATCCGGTTTGCGTTTAGTTGGACGATCATTTATTTTTCAACAGGACAATGACCCCAAACACACCTCCAGGCTGTGTAAGGGCTATTTGATCAAGAAGGAGAGTGATGGAGAGCTGCGGCAGATGACCTGGCCTCCACAGTCACCGGACCTGAACCCAATCGAGATGGTTTGGGGTGAGCTGGACCGCAGAGTGAAGGCAAAGGGGCCAACAAGTGCTAAACACCTCTGGGAACTCCTTCAAGACTGTTGGAAAACCATTTCAGGTGACTACCTCTTGAAGCTCATGGAGAGAATGCCAAGAGTGTGCAAAGCAGTAATCAGAGCAAAGGGTGGCTATTTTGAAGAAACTAGAATATAAAACATGTTTTCAGTTATTTCACCTTTTTTTGTTAAGAACATAACTCCACGTGTTAATTCATAGTTTTGATGCCTTCAGTGAAAATCTACAATGTAAATAGTCATGAAAATAAAGAAAACGCATTGAATGAGAAGGTGTGTCCAAACTTTTGGCCTGTACTGTACATACACACACACACACACACACACAAAGAAACATCTTGTTACGTCCATATTTGAGAACACTGAAAATCTCATTGTCTTTTAAATGTAGGTGAAGCTTTATTGTCCATGAGGGGATTTTTTTCTTGCAGCCAGATGACACAAAGAACACATAAATACCTAAATGTAATAGTAAATATATTACATAAAACATATATTTTTTAAAAACATTAAAAAGTTCAATCTGTTCTTAAAATGTTATGTATAATGTATTAAGATGATTTTATTCTCTGATTTTTATTTTACATAAATAAGTTTAGGGACACCAAATATTTGGGAAAAACAGTTCAGCTTTTAAACATATTATGGCTGCAATTTAGCCTCTTAGTGAAATGGGTGGGAATGGACAAATTTCTATTTATTTCTTTTAGTAAATATGAATTATAGCGTATCAAATATTGTATTTTAAAAGCAGATAACAATACGTATATTTGAGAGTTTAGATATTATAGCAATATATTGGTAGACAGTCCTTTTCTTTTATATAAACACCAGAATTAAGGATCCATTAAATTGTAATGTTAAAGCTGAAAAATAAATTTGTCAGTGCTCTCTAGTGGACAAACCAATGCTAATTTATCTGCAATAATTTAATATCGATTGTCAATATATCAGCTGGATGATTTATGATCCAGCTCTAATATTAATACACATTACTGCAGTAACACGTGTTTGGAGGATATGTAGCCTACACAATAACAATCATCACATTCACCTACAGCTTGTAATAATATGTTTCTTTACGCTACAGGAGTATACATAGCACTTTAAAACATCCTTCAAATACACAAAGACCAAGCTCATAACAAAGGGCCATAACACAGCTGACATTTTAACATATACCTGCAAACTTGTGAAGATAATTTACCTGTCTGTCTGCAGGTTAAATGTATAGTGGTCAGGTCGAACTGTGGGTTACACAGTGGTCAGACTTACAAGGTGTGAATGTGCTTTTGTTTGTGTCTACTGAGGCAGCTGCCAACTGGAAATAGCCGGTACAAATCCCCATGTGTTTTCACTGTTTGATGTTTGAAAGTGCAGTCTGTTTACTACAATATATCAGCATGACTGAATGTAGAGCTACATTCTTTTAGTCTAATTAAAATGTCAAATTTCTATCAAGGGCTGCCAAGCTAAAAATGATGACTATACAAACACTAAAAGCAAAGGTGTGTTATCATTATAAGAATGCTGGATGCATTCAAACTGCACAGCTTTTTCATTTCTGACATATTTTTCACTGGTCCCGACTAAAGAGCTTTGTGGCCACTGCTCATTTATCAGCTCTTTCAGAAAACATGTCATTGCCTTCCTTTTACAAAAGATCAGGAACTTCAACAGCCTGATTTTAGCATAGCAATCTGGTCTGTGCACGCCGGCAATACCCAATTAGGGCCCTCAGACAAAGCAGCCTGTGAACTGTGAATGTCTTTGACGACAAGTACAGAGATCAATAAGTGCTGCTGTGGATCTGAAGTGACACAATGGCTGTCAAGTCATTTTCCCACAGAGATCAACTAGACAAGAGAAAAGCTTTAGTGTTTTTTGCTACAAGTCTCCATCAGAAACATGATGTTTAACACTAACTTCATACAGTCTGCTCCACGTGACTTAAACCAGCTGCATCCCATGAATCATATGAATCAGGATGCAGCATGACAAACACTTCATATTGCAAAATGTCACCCCACGCCCAAAGTAATTAAATATGGAGCATAAATTGTGCTTTTAATTGTCCACACATGTACAAAGTTTCACTCTGACATAGGAAATGTAGGGTAATGTCTCTCTCTGAGTGCTGTAGCTCTGCCTTGAGTACTTCCTGGTCAGTGCAGTTTATTCTGGCTCTGATATTTCTGTATAATGTCTACCTATGTAATGTGTACACAGACATGCAATGCGGCTTTCCCCCTTTTTCTGTTGTGTTATTTCCATCCCCTCAGGGTGTGTGATTTAAACATATCTATCTCTTCTGCCATGTGTTTTTTGTTTCATTTTACACCCTGTTCTAACAAATTAAATAAAATATTGTGTTTAAAAAAAAGTACCTGTGATCATTAAAACTCATTCATGTCCAAATATGTATGAACAAATTAGTCTGTCTGTGCTGCTACTTGACCTCTTGACTTGATCCCCCCCCTCTGAAACAAATAAAGGTGACCCATTCAATAACAAGCGCCCACTCCTGGATACTTTTGAACTGAGGTTTGTGTATTGAGATTAACTTTGTTGCCACTGAAAGGGGGCAGGAAGCATCATTTCCTACATACATCAGTACTCAGGAGCAGATCCTCTGAAGACCTGCAACACAACCTATGTTTTTCAATTAATTCAAACACAAGGTTTCTAGCTTATCTTATCATACTTTTTTTTTTTTTTTTTACATCTAACCCATAAAAGAAAAACCTCTATCAACAATGGAAAAAATATACAACCCTGTCTAGTTGCAGAATCACAGTCAACAATACACGGCTTTAATACAATTTGAATGGCATATCCTTTATGTTATTTAAAAGTGTATATATTTATGTCTTGTCTTCCTGCTTTACTAATAAGATTTACTCAAAATATATAATCTTTATCATCATATATACTTCATTATGTACACAAATACCTAATGCATAGAGACTATAGGACACTGGCCACACAACAGAGTGTATATTCTTGCTGAATTGCTCCAACAAACAGTTGTTGAAATAAAGCCTATGCTCACATTCTTTGCAAAGGAATATGACTTTTGACTGGATTTTATTAGATACAGCAGAAAAATGTTATCAAGCCACACACTGCAGCCCCTGTGAGGCTCTAACCCGTTGAGGAAATGGCAGTTTCCGACTGTCCCTCTTTGAAGGCTACAGGTCCATTATTGCTTCATCCATTCCAAAGCGGATAAATGTTTTCACTGCCGATGTGTATTGCGCATGCAGATTCCATTAAAAACCCCTTAAAGAGACATGCGGCCGCTCCACCGTCCCAGGTGTGATGCCTTCACACCTCCGGCGGCCTGCAGACGTCTGAAGTCAGTGCGCGGCCGCTGCAGTGCCAGCCGGCACCGATGGTTCACCCATTCACACGTAGAGGCAGCATCACCTTTGATCGCGGGGGGATTTAACCCCAGAGACACGCAGGTCTCAAACTCAGTCAGTCGCTGGAAGTAAGAGGTCGAGGATCATGTCTTCTGTTCATGGGAATATGCGCGTTGGGGATCTGAATCATTTCCAGATGTATCATGACGGACCTCTGCAGATTAACAGCATGGGGAACTCAGGTGGGTGACTGGCAGCAAGAGAATAACTCGCAAACAAACTGTGAAGCAGCTTTCACCACTGGTTACAGTAAAAAACGGCTTTGCAGCCGTGCGTAATTTACGCATTACGCACACGCACTTTAGACTTCTAGTCTACTTTTACTAAACATTCTTTATTTATCTTCACAGATTATGGATCCACAGATGTTGCAAACTACTTCAACTCTGCTAACTCTGCACCGAGGGCGGATAAATGTGTGGCAATCCTGACCCACAGGAGAAAGAGGACCAACTTCACCCAGCAGCAGATCGAGGTGTTGGAGAAAGTTTACTCAGACACTAAATATCCTGACATCTACCTGCGAGAGAGACTGGAGGCTCTGACCGGCCTGCCCGAGTCCAGAATTCAGGTAATGTCAAGTTTCATTGAAGAAGTCTCAACATGTGCAATGTTTTTTAAATTTGTTTTAAATTTTAAAACATCAAAGTTATTGTAAATTGTTCAACTGTCCTGTCCTCACATTTCAGGTATGGTTCCAGAACAGAAGGGCCAAGTCACGTCGCCAGGTTGGCTCATCGGTGTCCATGAAGGTCGCCAACCCGCCAGCAGCTGGCCCCTTCAGCCAGCTCCAGAGCAGGATGGGCCCAGAGAAAGGTAGTTATTACAGTAATAGGTTTTTGTTGTGGGCCCAGTTACACTTATTTTTTGTCACTCACGCATTAAGTGCTCAGTCCTTACCTACCCACAAAAATAATTCAAGTCCTTCAGGCCACATTAGATGATGAATATGGCAATTTGCTGCAGAAATATCTGCTTTAAAGGGGGGTTATGCCAATTTTCAAAATTTATACATGTTATTGCTAGGGTCTAAGATAGTCTAACATCTTAGTAAATATGAACAACTCTCTCCCAAATCCAAAACTAGAGTGCTTACACTCAAATTTGTGATGTCACCAAGTGAAATTACACAGTCACATGATGCCCTGTGGCCCAAATGGCTTACATGGCAGGAGAGACTTCTAAAAATCAATGGATTTTTTTTTTTTTTGGTTGGTTGGTTGGTGTTGCCCTTGAAATCACTAACACATGATTTGAAGTCATTTTAGTTTACATATGTTACTTCAGAACTACTCCTCTCTTTAGTGTAGGGAATGAGAGTAGCATATTTCTCTTATTTCAGAACTAACTGCTTCACTCTCCTTTTCTCTTCCAGTATATGACAACAATCATGGAGCCGAGGCACACAGGATAGCAGGTTTCGGACTGGAGGACAGTTTCAGACCTACACTGCACCAAAACACAGACGACCCTCACAGAACCAGTATGCCCACCAAACCCAGCAGCTACGAACACACGCCCGTCTCCTGCATCTACGACAAGGAGGGAACCAGAGTGAAGCCTGGGCAGACACAACGGCGCGAGCTGAGCGTCAACGTCCCGTGCTGTAACATCCATCTGTATCCCAAAGAGAACGAGCATCAACTCAAAATGGAAGCCAACATGAGCGCCAACCAGGGTGCAAAGGTTCTGGTGGAATATGACAACTTCCCACCAAACAAGACCATCGGGCCAGAGATGAAGGTTGTGATTCCTCCCATCCCCACGCAGAATAACTTCAGCAGGTCTTCACCGAAGGATAACGGATGCCAAATCCAGTATCCACATGTGAGGGCAGCAGGGGACAGGTTCAGTCACTTCTCCCCGATCCATGCCACGGAGGCTCAGGACTTCACTGACTCTGACTCAGACTGGGAAAACGAGGCCATGGCTGGTTTTGGCGGCTTTATGTGATGTATTATAAGAGGCAGTAAAAGGAACATTTGTATTTATTGTAAAATAGTAATAAAACTGTTGATTGTAAAGAAAGAAAACTGTCTGTCAATAAAGACTAAAAACTACAAGACCAAATGCTGCTTTGCAATATTATGTTTAATATAAAAAGACGGAAACATTTATATACAACTGCCCTGAGGCACTCTCATATACAACTTTACAAAACTGAAAAAGGAGATTCTCTAGGAAAAAACTGGTGAGTTGAATATGTCGGGCTTACATCAGTGATGCAGGCTTAGTGTGGGGGAGGGGGGGGGGGTCGCAGCAACAGCCATGCCAAATCTGGAAATGCTAAGATCGTCTTAGGGAGTAAAAGGCATCAAAACCCCAGAGTTCTCCTTTATAAAAATACCAAAATCTCTTTTCAGTGCACACAAAATTACAAAAGCCATTTCTGAATACACAGCAGAAATGTTGACGACAGTCCTAATAATCAGAGATATTGTACAATTATCTACAATAAACAATTTTATAAAACATTCTTTAGCCTCCCTGTGCTTACCATCAGTGGAGCAACAGAACAATAACACTTACAGGGAAGGGGGGGAAACTTCAGAGAAAGCAAAATATCGTTTCATAACCATACACACCTACTCAAAAATAAATAAATATGAACTATAAAAACTATAAGAATCAATGTTTGGCACGTGGAACCAATAAATAACCATTGAGAGTTTGGAGATGTGGATTTGTGGGGATAGCTAAAAGGTTCTTTCAGATTTGTGTTTGACGGGGTGCATTTTCACACAATAAAATGGGTGGGTAAAATACTTATGACATCCTCCCTCCCTTCAGCAGGAAGCATCAGGGGTCCGGGGCAGAACTCGAGTTGTTACGCTGGGACATCCAAATTCAGATCGTACGGTGGTGATCCACAACATCCACGTGAGCTTGTTGTATTCGCAGTCTTGTACCAGTTCAGGTGGAAGCACCATCTCAAAAGACGATATGAACGGACCGCACCTCTGCGTGTGCATGCACCTGTGTGTGGTGTGGGTGATGCAGGTGCTCAGACTGCATTGGTGTTGTTGGCAGAGAATGCGTGCAGATTGCCCAGCTGACTAAGGCCGCTCTGGATGTGTGCCACGTGGATCTCAACGTTATTCTGAAAGCAACTAGAAACACAAAAAGGACAATGGTATGAGAAATGTTAAGTACTTGGAGCCTGACTTAATAGTGACTAGTAGTGATGCTGACTTGGATAATACTAAAATAAAGTCGAATTACGCATGTGTATTCCCCTAAGAAATATTTTGAGTCTCCATGTGTATCTCATGCAGCAGTGCAACATGCAAAGGCCTTGGTGAAGGTGAGTATAGCCTAGATCAGTGATTCCCAACTGGTCCAGCTACAGGAGCCAGATTTCTCCTTACTCATTTGTTCAAGGTCCACACAGTTCAATATATTCACCATCGTAAGTGCATTTGGCCATGACGTCGAGCTGGTTTGTCGTCTGTGTCAAGCAGCTGTCAGCTAGTCACTCGCAGGAACAGCACTTCAAAGTGAAAGCTCTGTGCCGGAAATTCACTGTACTTCAAATAAATTTTTTCTAACTTGACACGTTTGCGAGTCAACTGCAGTCGATTTCAAAAGGACCTGCGACCCACTTTTGGACTATGACAACACCAGTTGGGAACCACTGGCCTAGATGAACCATCCAGGCATTTCCTGAAGTAGGCTGAAGCTTTCAGTTTGTTAAGGGTTAAGGGTGGCACAGCTGTTTCAGAGCTATGAAAGTCACCTCACTGGTATTTGAATAGTCTGTTTAATAGGGTATTAAACAATCACCACAATCGTAGATCTCGCAGATCTATACTCACCTTATCTAAGCCCTCTCTGCATGTTGCGCTGCTACAGGACGTGTGCATGGAAACTCAAAATATTTCTCAGGAAAACACAAAAGTATTATCGTCTTGTTTACGACCATCTTCTTCCCACCCATGTCCCCTTGAGGACTCTATAGGTATGCCATTGACACAGATTAAAAAAAAAAAAACTATGAACCATCCCTTCTATTGTTTCATGTAGTGTGACTTAAGCCCAGTTCAGAATAATGATTCCCAACGAGACGCGATGGAACTTGCAACTACTTGCAACGGTCTGCAACGTTCTTAAAACCTACCAGTTTGCACCAATGCAACAAGATGAGACGGTGTATTGTCTCCATAGCAACATCTCTCTGTACTTTGGTGCTAACTGACAGCTTTTAAAGCACAAGTAACGACTGAGCACTTTGTTTTTTCAGTGTGTGTGTGTGACATGTGCTCAAACAGCCAGCAGCAGCAGCAGCAGCGACCCACCACCTAATACCAATACACCATGAAGATGGAGCTGACATGAGCGTCAACAGCTGTAGGGCTGTAAAGTAGTGATGTGACTTGCCGTGCTGAGGCTTCGAAGCGTGTGTCGAGTAATCCAGGAAGTGTTTCCGCGATGCGCGTATCGAGGCTTGTGTCATTTCAGACGAGTGACGTCACTGGTGACGTCCGAAGCCTCGCTGGCCGGCTGTACCACGTGACTGGTTCGGGAAGTTGTTCAGATCTTGGTGCGAGTATTTGACAGCCAAAAAACCCCATAGGTTTCATTCAAAATGTGTGGTTGTGATAGAGGAGAGTTTTTGACAGTTGAGAGTTTGGATAGTTTGGAGAGTGTGACCATTGTAATTTCAAAAAGGTAAGGTTTAAATCTACAAAATCCAATAATACAAAAATAATATAGTGTGTAAAAAATACACACTATATTGGGGCGTTGGTGGCTTAGTGGTAGAGCAGACGCCCCGTGTACAAGGCTGTTGCCGCAGCGGCCCGGGTTTGAATCCAGCCTGTGGCCCTTTGCTGCATGTCATCCCCCCTTCTCTCTCTCCCCCCCTCACGCTTCCCTGTCCTGTCCATTAAAGGCCAAATGCCCCCAAAAAATATATCTTTAAAAATACACACTATATTAATATAGGTGCATCATATCTTTACTGTTACTATAATGGAGAGTAGATTTATTCAATTCAGTTTAAAAAGTATATATACAAACTACTAATTGTAATAGCTTTTTTTGTCCAGTAGATGGCTTAGTAGAGCAAATGAAGCATCAAGAAGCTTTGCCCTTGAGTGAACCAATTCGATGAAAAGCTTCAATGCTTCATGAAGCTTCATTTGCCCATCACTACTGTAAAGAAGACAGGCTCAAAAGGGAAGGAGGGCTGTTATCAGAGAATGCTGCAGCAAGTGAACGAACACGGCATCTGCTGACAGATTGTACCTGACTTGACCATCTTACTTACAAGCTGACGGTGCGTTCCATTTCCACTGGGAAATCGGAATTTCTGAGTTTCCAGTCAGGAACTTGAATTTTAGAACTCGCACTGAAGTTCAACTTGAAAAGTCTGAGGAACCTTTAAGGTCTTACGGTCTTATTTGTGTCTCATTAAAACAATCATACACACAGTATTGTCCAACTTCTCTCTGTGGACATGTTGCTACAGTATTTGTGTGCACAAAGTAGAGTGTAATCTGTTGTTATCAACTGGTATCACCAACAATGGCTGACCTGACTAGAACTGGTATCACAACATCTTGGTTCCCTGACTTGTTGTACCAGAACGTGGTAATCTCAGGTGTGACGTCATTCCTTAATCAGACTTCCGAGGTAAATGGAAAGCAGCATGAATTGCAAGTGACACCATCAGCTGGCTTGAGTTAAGTTGAGATGGGTCAGTTCACTGCGCTGCAACTTTTCTCCTCAGCGTTCTAAAATGATTTTGCCTAGTTGTGAATCTGTGGTCTGAACTGGGCTTAAGGAAGTGTAGTTAGAAACCCTGCTTTTTTTTTTTTACCTGAGATTGGAGGGATCAATTGATGCCTTGATGTCATTAAGGGAGTCTGTCAGAGATTTAAACTCAAATGAGTTCAGGTCTCCTCCATCTGCCAGACACTGGGAAAAACAGACAAAAATGAGCAATGAAAAGAATTTCAAAGTACTGGTTTATTATTCAAATATTCTTCAGTGAACATACAAAAGCTGTTAAAGAAAGTTCACAACAGACTTATTAAAGCATTGACGTTGATGCCAAATTTGTGCTAACCTCACTGTCAATACATCATCACAAATAAATCTGACATGAGTTAGGGACAGGGTCCACATAGCGTCTTTTTTTTCTGTAGAAAAAGGGGTGGGGCACAGGGGAGCGCCTCATACCAGTGCTTCATAAAAAGGTGTCCCCCAGTGCTTTTTTTAAAAGACACGCTGCACTTGGGTTTTGTTTCTATGACAAAAACGTCTTGACATTAACATCAGCTACATAGCGAATGTAACAATACATTAACAGACAGTTGATTACACAATTAACGGCAAGCTCCGTAGTACAGTGATAGATGTACAACAATCACTGGAAACCTACAGTGTCCGTCACCTGTTGTGCTCTCACAAATGTGCTTGAGATTTTCAACTGGAAGCTCTTGGAGGGGACGCACAAAAAAGGCCAAGCACTCTGAAAAAAGACGCTAGGTGCAGCACTTTATTTCTTGGCAGCCACATATGCTCTCTCCTCACTGGGAATAATTGAAAAAAGATACCGGCGCTGAAAACAAAAACACGACGTGAACACTGGCCCTTAGAAAATGTGTGAGCAGGAATGAACGCAGCTGAGCATATCCCTTACCTTGATCTGTAGCAGCAGAGCAGTGAGGCGGGATACGAGGTGTGTGAGGCTGGGGTTAGTCACACTCTGCTGTCCGTCCTTCAGTGAGTTGCTCAGCTGCACCATCTGCTGGGCTTCGTCTTCACAACGCCGCCGCAGCTCTGTGGGATGGTCAGCTGGAACCATGCCCTGATCTGGAGCGAGCTGGACAGACAAATTGGGGATTCGCATCTTAAACAAGGCACATTTATATTCAAACTGGTCGAGATGAGACCAAGAAGTAAGATGCTATGAATATCAGGCTTCAGGGACAATAATTAGTAACAGA